CCGATTTACCCAACCGATTACATTTTTTGATTGGTACTCATAATTAGTTCTCGGACCAATTATCCCGTTGTCTATCACGAACAGTTTTCCGTCATTGAAATCCATTCCACTCAAAACCTTTCGTACGGATTCGGACCATCTTGCACTGTCGATAAACTCGTTACGTTTGTGCATTTATTTCCTTTCGATCTTTCATCCACTCCATTTATGATTAATGACTGAAACCACATCTCATCTCTGTGGACGATGAGCCTGGTTTCGAAACCGTTGTGGTCAAAGCATTGATCACTAAAAGGTATCCATTGGCGAGACAAAATGTACCATTGTTCCGTGGATTAGTACAAGTTTGAAGTTAAAGTTTTATAAGCTATTTGTTTACATTATTCTAAAGTCGTTGCTGTAATGTTATCCATATTCCTATCTCCCGCAATTAGTGGTCTGCGGACGATGTTCTCGTCGTCCTCGTGGCTACTGTACAAACGAAAGTTTATTGATTGAAAGCACAAACTATCGCTTGTATCATAATCAGCGGGAATGAGCGCAGATGCAATGAAAATAAATTAGTTAGGGTAAAACTATAAATAGAATAAACACACACACACACACGTGTAGTTCGAGTTTAATCTACCATCTTCCATTTAGTTAGTTGTATGTGTTTAACATCAGCTTTTTTCTTTCCCTTCCGCCGGTCGACCCACCACAAATAGAAAGACTAAAACTCTCGCATACACACACAAACACAGACAACAACTCCAATGTTGGTTCAGGGTTTTTAGTGTGTTTGCAACCTCCTCTTCCAACCTCTCCGCCTACTGGACAGCGTACCTCCACTCAATGTGCTATCTCAGGCACGAAGGAAGTGCACGTACCACGAGAACATGTTCTGCTTTGCGTGTGTTACATGCCAGACATTTAGGCCACGTCGCGTCCCGTTCGGTTCCGTCCCGTCCAGTGCCATACAATTTCTTTCTATTTAGCTTCGTGTCGGCCCATTCCGTTCCTAGGTCTGAATGGAATCGGGATGGGACGGGCTTTACACTGCACAATGCACCGCATGGCACAGCACGGTACCGCATCGCATCGCATCGTACCATACTAAATCGACGGGCAGCCCTTCCATAGGTAAATGGCCCGATCACTCACACGGTCCGACCAGAGCCAATCATCACGAGACTAAAGCCATAAAAATATTGATGGGATAAGACTCGAACCGTAGACTTGAGTGCGTGCTAGCTTATACATGTATGTTTGTGCTAAGGCCAGGTTTTATGACTGTGGCCCGAATCCTCGTTCTGACGCAGATGAACGAGGGCACTCGAGTGGAGGAGGAGGAGATATGACACGGGTGGGAGGATGTGTGTGTGTGTGTGTGTATGTATGTATGTATGTATGCATGCATGTGACCGGCAGGAAAGTGTTCCAGGATGGAACGCTACCGACCGAGTAGACCATAAATCTCTCAGATGAATGCGCATCTGAACAGGCCACGGGCAAGTTCGTACACTAAAATGTGTTCAGCAGTGCACACTAGCGTGTTTGCACACGCAAACATGCATCTGTGTATGTGTGCGCGCGCAGGTGTGCACCCGGAAATACAGTTACTGTGCTGCACTCCAATGGTGCTAGGTCATCCATTCCCGTGAGAAAGGCCATGCGCAACTATTACTTGGCGTCAAGCCGAACTCTCTCGAGTCTTGTGGAAAGTATACAGCGAAACTGCTTTTTTTTCGTTCCCCGGGGCCAGTAAACTGTCATTCGAACAAATTTTCTCAATCAGGAACTATAGAGAGAGATTTTCCGATCATCGTAGCGTGGGAACTGAGAATGGAACAGGGAGGGCAGTTGATTGATTTGTTTTTTCACTGCGCGATATGCTGTCCGGCTGTGTCTAATTTCTCTAATATTCAACTCGGAATGTATGTACAAATACGCGGGTCGTCAGAGGACTCGCGGAACATATTTGATGCCGAACGGTAAATGTCTGGATGAGTTCAAATCAAAAAGCAGTAATGCAAATGAACGGATCGGTTCGAATTTGTTTCGCAGTTGGGTCCAGTAAGACTACTGGTGATGTAATAAACCACCAAAGGTGAGCATCATGTGATTCGTCACTTAAAGTCTGAAGACGATAGCCTGCAGATGATTAAACACAATTCGTAGATTAAGATACTGAATATAAAATTAGTATTTTTGTATGCTTTAAACCTGTGCCGAGGGTATTCTTTGACATATTTGGTGGTTAACAGAGCATTGATTCCAAATCAGATGGTATTAAATTGAACTCAATGGATTTTGAAAGTTTAAGATTCGTCCAAAAGAAGAAAAGCTGAAGACGCAAACGTTTGGAAACATTATTTCTATCTTCTTTGAAGACAGTAATTGACTATGTAGAAAAATCCATGGGTTACAATATTTGCATTCTACCGGGGAGATCCCGGGTTCGAAACCTTCAGTTTGGTCGATAAATTCAAACTGCTAATTCGATCCAGGATGGTTCAAATAATAATCTTAGATTTTCAAGACACGTGTACTTTGCTCCGTATACGTTGAACTCCATCAAGTACTTGACTTAAAGCCTCCGGTACTTGTTCGTAGAGTTATAATAACTATAAAACAATTTCCAACAAATTTTCCGGGATAATTTTATTAGCATCTATGCAACCATCTTATCAAAGATTTTTTTACCAATAAACAACTCGTGAAATTTCCTTAAGAGCATTCTGATTTTCCTTTATTGATAACCTGGTCTAGGCGAGGGGGGTGGATGAATCTAGGTATTTATCACATTTTTAATTTGGCTACTTGCTTTTATTGTCCCATGCTTTTCAAAGTTTTGATGTGTCGAAGATCCTCGTGGCTAGAAAAATAGAGGATCTCCTCTTAATTCTACTCATGTGGGGAATTCGGCAGATGCCTAATCACAGCGACACTGAAGTTCAAACAGGAGTATTCGTGACCACTATGCTAAGGGTAAAGTGCGCTAATTTCAAAATCAAACTATCTCATCGATTGGCAAATGGACGTTAGCCCAGATGGTGATGCTCGTTCGAAAATCGACGTACTGCCGATGTTTGTTTTCTTGGCTTAAATTCTGAAACCGGTTTCTTGTTCCATTTCGATTTCCATAGGCAATAAGATCGTTTACTTGAATGTGATCTCGAGTCTCAACCAAATATAACACACACACACACACACACACACAGAGAGAGAGAGTACCGATTTGTCCCATAAATAGACCCACATATGCAAAATCGGCAGCACAGGTGGCCAGATCTAGCCCAATACCCCCCCCCGTTTGATGCCGACACCGAAGAAATTTACACGGACAGGAGAACAGTTATCTGGGCTAGCCTGGCCAACTGATGGAATGCATTGCACGTGCGGTACCGAAATAAAGAATAATCGAATGAGAAGCACAAGCGGACATTCGCACGCTGTCTGAAACATGCGTTTAGGTACACAGTTGTGCATAGACATTGGAAAACATCGATCGGGTGTAATCATAGACATGAATACTGGTAGCGTGATATCTTCCTTACCACCATCATCATCACCACCACTATCTCATGAAATAATTGAAAAACTTTCATGTATTTTTGCCCAGTAAGTTAACAAAACATACAATTTTCCGGCTATGTGATTCAGTTTCTGTGATTTGCTTGCTTCGTGTGCAACACCGAAAAATAAACTTGACCGATGAAATACCCATGAAAAGCGAGCGCGTGAGAGATTCAATGCTTGGTCAACTCAATCCTGTCCATACCATAGATTGTGAATATCAGTAAATTGTGTTCAGGAGAAACGCAATAAGATAAGTTCCAATTACACATCCCGTTTAGACGTTAATTGGAACCAATAAACTTCAGCAGAACAACCTGCAGCATTTAGTTAGAAGATATATGGTATATATGGTATCATCTAAGCATGCCTCCCTCGCCTTCAGTCACAGCAAGGCTGAGGTCAAATAGCATTTAAGTGAACAGAACATCAGTGAGGACTCAGATGCTGATGACTCTCAGATAATGATGAAGTTAATGGTGCGTGTGAACATTCCCATGACTCTTTTGACTAAAACTGTAGTTTCTACTTTTTTACTATGTTTATTATTAGTCTTACATCTTGAGATCATGGTTAGACAACTTGAAATGATTTCCGGACATCTTGACATCGGGCTGATTTGACTTGCAAAAGGTATAGTCATTTTCAGATGCTATACATATTGAACAACCACTCATCATTCGTGTTTCGACAACAATTTTCTACAGTTGCATTGTGTCCACCCATTTTTCATGATTGTTTGCCTTGTCTAACCACGAGTATTGCCTTATCATATTCCGACCGTGACGCTCCCATTGAACTTCGATAGCTTTATCCACCTCTGTGCTCAAACTATTTGTGAGTTTGCGGTTTCTCATGTAATGTTAGCATGATTAGCTACAGAACCACGTTTCATACACCTACAACCTTATTCCGAGCAGACTAGATTTGCAATAGCAGTCCTTTGTAAATGTATACTTATTGATTCAGTTAAACTATGCACCTAAAAATTGTAAAACACTTTGATTTATTTTGAGTCGATGTAATTGCGGCCTTTAAAGAAATCGGTCGTTGTAGCGCTTGATTCTGCTACTAACAAAAGCCAAGCTGCACAATGATGATCAAGAATAAAAAGAAGATGTTGATGATCATGAAGATGATGCTCATTAACATAATGATGATGATGATAATTCTCGCTTCAGTCTTCAGTCTTCAGGATTGAGGGCTGAGGGCAGGGTGCCCGTGTAAGCCCCATCACCATTGGGTCGAAGGTCCGATCACAAGTGTTCGTTTCTCCANNGAATTCCAGAGTGTTGTTCACCTACGCGGGAGTCGGCAGACTAACGGAAGACAAACTGACTGAAGTTTACGCAACGTAAGAGAGTGCCCTTACGTGCGGTGCTCTGTCCGTAAAGGGAAGTACTGTTGCAGCTCCGGGCTCATATCACCTCTCAGGATATTCCTCAGGCAGATGAGATCTCCCATGAGGCGTCGATACGCAATTGGGAACAGACCAGTAGTCTGTGGACGACCTTCATAGCTGGTCCCTCGTAAATCAATAACGGACGCTCCAACTTATCCAGCTCACCGGCCGTGCAGGGGTATGTCGCCGCACCACCATACTCAAGACTTGGTCTGACATGGGAAGCGTACAGCAGCCTGAAAGCGTCCATCGTGAGCTGGTTGAAAGACCGTCGAATAGGCCCCAGAATGCTCCATGCGCTAGCACAGACCTGATCGGTGTTTTCTCGGGTCTTTAGTGATGATGTAACCATAACACCCAGGTTTCGTTCGCACGATGTTCTGCGCAATGTGGTTCCCTGGAAGTTGTAGACTACCTATGAGTCAGCACGCCCCAAGTGCAGGTGAGCACACTTTGCTTCGGATGACTGTTCGGATGATCATTATTCGGGTGATCATGATGAGCATGATGACCCGAACAATGATGATGATGATGCAGATTCGCTTGACGATGTCGATGATGATCCCGATGATTCGCATGACGATGACGACGACGATGACAGTTCACATGATACAGATGATTCACAGGATGATGACAATGAAGCTGATGATGACGATGAGGCGGACGATGATGATTCGGATGATGACGTTGATGATGATCATGACCATAATGATGATAATGAATCGCATGATGCCGATGGTGATGATGATTCGGATGATTCGGACGATGATGATTGTTACGGAATCGAGAACAGATATAACGTACGACGAAATTGGAATTGCGCTTAAGGACCCTTCGAAGAATAAACAGCTAACAGCAGGAAACCAACGCGTAAGGCACGACGAATCAGCTAAGTCTAACCACGGCAGCTAACAGTAAACATCGATCCTGTGAATCTAGTCTAAACGCACGGTATGGACAGAAAAAAACGGCTTTGGGCAGCAGTAATAATATTGAACGTGGTTTTATAGATACTTACAGTATCAAATATAAAAAAATAGGCACTGATGACTAGATTGACACGACGTCGATTTAACTAGCGCGTCAAGGTCAGAATGGAAAATCAACAATTATAAAGGGCAGTTAAACAGTTAAACAGAAATAGAGAAAGAAGGAAAGTACATAAATTTTAAGTCTCGTATAGAGCTCGACCGGTTGGGATATTGTGTAGCGCAAAAATGGATCAGAGTTAAAGTTTGGATAATAAAGGGTTGTCAAATCTTTTACAATGATAATGATGATGATGAGGATGTTAGTGGTGATAATAAAGACGGAAAGTGGCCGGTCGAGACCAGTCAGGCATGCATTTCTTAATGTTGCCGACAGCTTTTCTTGTCCTGAGTTTGCGTGCGTTTTCTGTATTCCGTATTTTTTCTTTCTCAAAGACCAAATTGTCAAGAATTTTCAAAACTCGAAAATGTGTTGTGTGGCCTTATGTATTGGTTGGATAACTCTTGTGTACATTGCTCCCACTGAATGCGAACATCAATGCTCGATGTACACACACAGGAGCACACACAGACATACAAACATACATGCATTTGACACGGATGTCCCTCACAAACGACCTTGATTACAATGACCAATCAGAGTGCACCACATGTTCGCGTGTTATTGATTGGCTGACTGCTGATGAATTGTACGGCCAGTATCGGCTGATGACGTGCATTTTTAATTGTACATGTATTACGTTGCTGCTGGTTGGAGCCTAATTAAAAGGGTTTACTTTTGTGCATATTATGTGTTCTATTGAATACAACACGAGGAGCTGGTATTCTTGCTCTAGCTCATCCACTCCCAATTTGATTAATCCAAATTCGTGTAAACTACTTTTTCGCAGTATGTGTCGTATGAATTGAGAATCATTTTAATCAAAGAAGTATCAGTATTCAGTTGAAATTATGCTCCTCACGTTTGTTAGTTTTGTTTTATGCGAACGAATTGCCTGGTTTTCTAGGTATTCAGCATTAATCCACTAGTTTAATGCCCATAATATCATATTAAAAGACTCTCGAATTCGCGAATAAGATTCTATTCAACGAAAGATACACCACTGTTATGTTCACTGAGTAGAACTAATGAGAATATCTCAACCAGGACGTTCCATTTGAGGCAAATCGGCAGTAGAATAAGTGCTTCGGAATGATGTGGACACACGCGGATACGAATTGAGGAACCGAACAGATCACAGGTACAAATTTGTGTGTATGCGGAGGAGGGAACTGAAATGTAGGGCACATTGTCTAACGTGACTGATTCGTGAAAAAACCTTACAGTGGACAGAGTGCGACGTGTTGAATGACATTCTGTCGACGGAGAATCCGAGAGTGTCGGCATCTGGTCAACAGTGTTCTCACTAGATTGATTGTCGTAATTTTAACTCTGTTGACTTGATTAACGAACGAACAGTTAGTTTCAGAACATGTTAACTTATTCAAAATCGAACGACTGCAGTTGAAATTTTGCATCAGTTTCAACATCCACAGTATCCGAGGATGATGGTGAATTTTTGGATACCAGAAAAAGATCTTTTTAAGCATACCGCTAGAATTCGATTTCGGATTTCAAAAATTTACAATGATGGTTAATAAAATTGGTCAATTAACAAGTGAAAATAAATCGATGATATGAGTATGTCGCGGCTGACCAGTCGACAAATTCCTACACACAAGATTTAAAAAAAAAATCAATCATCCAGTTTCTTCACGATTACCTATTAACTTTTATCTGTTTACATGTTGGATCGGACCAGATTTACTCATTCAAAGGCAAAACTAATGAGAACTTGAAATTTAGGATTGATAAAAGACAATCGATCCCAGATTCACAATGCGTTACATCAGATACGACAAGCAAGAATACGATTCGTAGACGAAGAGCAGAAGTTGATGATCTGGATGATATGCTACCGTGGGGCAGCGGCCGAGGCNGGTGGGCGGGGGGGGGGAGAGAATGGAGTGAGAACAGGAATATCAAAGTAAAAAGAGAACAAAATCACAAAATATCGAATAAATGCTCGTTCCAAAACGGCCGGAATAGATTTTGTCTTGTGATAGTGATATAGGACTAAAATTCTATTTTCAGGAACAGGATTATTCTGATGTAGTTGAACCCTATCTCGAAAACTTTATCAATGCACAGGAAATTCAACCAAATCGAATGTGAGCAAAGAAAATCTGTCCTGTGAGAAATACGCCAGCAATTTCACCAGTTTCACAAGAGGAGGAAGTAGCAAGATGCGAATCAGTACCCTAATTAATCATAGCCAGGTGGATCGTGTGTTGTGTGCCGTCGAAACTATTTTGGGCTTACCTCACAAACTAAACAAAGTCCAAATCACGTCCCACATATTCCCCTTTCCTCCTCAGTCCCGCCCTCCCCCCCCCGCGCTAACCCCAGAGTTGAATTGTTCGGCTTCGATCTCTCTCTCTCTCTTCTGTCTCTCCCAGCCCGTCTATCCACCTGCATCGTTCGGATATTCCCCACAGATATTTTTGTGGTTTGTCTTTGTCGTTCCCATCAGCCGCAAATTTAACAAGCTGAGTTCATTTTGGATAAGTCACTGACACACGATTGTCGATTAATTGCGCGTCTTTAATAAACCAAAATATGGTCCGTTGTCATGGTTCTGTCGGTCAAACAATTTTTTCTTGCGGTGTTGGTAGTAATAGAGAGTCTGAAGAGACAAAAGCTAGGATTTTACATTCCCAAAGGACTTCGCATACACTCACATTAATACATGCGTACAAACATCCTAACTTAGTGAGGGAAAAACACGGATCTCACACTGGACTTTCATTACCAATTCGGAATTAGACGATTGTCGTTTAAATTTGTTTACTACCGATAACTTTGGTAACAAAACAAAATAAAACGAGTCGCGAAATGTTTTCTGAACCCGGTACGCGCGATGCGCAACATCACTCGAAACGACTGATGCATGGACGCTAAGATTGTTGTCTCTTAACGCGATCGATAAACAACCTCATATTTTACTGTATTGTGTATGTGTGTGGGTTATTTAAATCTCGGTCACGAGGTTAGAGAAGTTTCAAAAGCAGCTAACCACTATTTACAGATTCCTTCGAATTCATACAAATCACATTTTTAATTATATCATATAATAACAAACAGAACGTGATTTGCTATTACTTCACTCCTCTGTCCCCGCCCACCCCCCACCTCCCGAATTGATGCACACGGGAGACAACTGCTCATCTTTTTTGTAGAGCTAAAGTGTGAAGTGTGTGATTTATTTGCAGTTTGTACCATCCGTCCACACTGTAACCCATGCATATGATCATCAATGATACCAACATCCCGCGGGGATTTTGGGATACACATTTCCGGCTCGTGAAGCACTTGGTCATCAAAAGTATTCCTTATGACTCAACTTAGGCAGATGCATATGACTGGAGCCGATTGGTGCCAGAATTTTGTCGTCTGTGTCAACAACTCACGATTCTAGGACTCATTCAGACTCGGTCGGTAAACACGTCGCACGACGAGCCTATGTTTGTATGCTTTTACTTCACTGTTCACAAAAACACAAAAACTAAATTATCGCGTTTTTCGCCAAAACACACGGATGCTCGTTTCGAAGAAAAGCATTCCTCCTAATAGGACACGGATACAATAGTATGATATCTAACCGAACAACATTATCAACCCGGTATATTTCATTCTTTTACCTGCAAAACTGCGCGAACTGTACGGGGCTGAAAATGGAAAACATGCAAGCCAATCCTCACCCCTCNATTCTTACTCCCTCAGGCTTCAACGCATTATTCGTTTCGCTTCTTACCCTCTCACATTCACTTCATTCGCCTCCCTCACCGACTCACTGGAATCCACAAAATTACGATACGGACCTCAACTGAACTGTTCAAAAATTGATCACTTTACAACCATAAGTTCTTTCTTTTCGGTGAGATGAAAGGTTTATTCATGTGCTGTTTACACAAAAATTTAAACAAATATGAATGCAAACAATTGCCGACTCCGCTCACATGATCAGCCTGGAGCGCCGATTCGAGCCTAGGACGATATCCTAACATCTTCAACTCCAGTATTCTTATTGACTGATTGCATTATAACGCATTTCAGTAAATAACAATAAACAACTCACTGGCCGTAATGCAAAGAATGTTAAAACAGGATTAATTGTATATAAGAATGTAAGAAAGGTCTTTAGTCAGAACCAACTTGCAA